CTGTTGTGCTGTGTATGGTTTGAGAGGTATGTATGTACTGTTGTGCTGTGTATGGTTAGGGAGATATGTATATGCTGTTGTGCTGTGTATGGTTTGAGAGGTATGTATAAACTGTTGTATGTGTATGGCTAGGGATATATGTATATACTGTTGTGTTGTGTATTGTAAGGGATATATGTATATACTGTTGTGCTGTGTATGGTTAGGGATATATGTATATACTGTTGTGATGTGTATGGTTAGGGATATATGTATATACTGTAGTGATGTGTATGGTTTGAGAGATATGTATATACTGTTGTGCTGTGTATGGTTTGGAAGATATGTATATACCGTTGTGTAGTGTGTTGTTTGGGAGATATGTATATACTGTTGTGCTGTGTATGGTTAGGGATATATGTATATACCGTTGTGCTGTGTATGGTTTGGGAGGTATGTATATAATGTTGTGCTGTGTTTGGTTCGGGAGATATGTATATACCGTTGTGCTGTGTATGGTTTGAGAGGTATGTATATAATGTTGTGCTGTGTTTGGTTCGGGAGATATGTATATACTGTTGTGTTGTGTTTGGTTTGGGAGATATGTATATACTGTTGTGTTGTGTATCGTTTGGGAGATATGTATATACCGTCGTGCTGTGTATGATTTGAGAGGTATGTATATACTGTTGTGCTGTGTATGGTTTGGGAGATATGTTTATACCGTTGTGCTATGTATGGTTCGGGAGATATGTATATACTGTTGTGCTGTGTATGGTTTGGTAGATATGTTTATACCGTTGTGCTATGTATGGTTCGGGAGATATTATATACTGTTGCGCTGTGTATGGTTTGGGAGATATGTTCATATTGTTGTATAGTACTTGATACGAGTACTAGACAATATCAGGCAGCATATTTATTATGAATTTGATGATTTTAGAGCAATGCTGTAGTACCGACGGTAGCAGACACAGCAGTGTATAATCAGAAGGTACAGATAGGCCCACACGAGACGTTTCCACAGGACGTCAAACCTTCGCTACCACCTATAAAAGCTTCAGGTCAGGTCCTGAGGAAAAAGAAGAAAAGGAAGAAAAAGAAGAAAGTACGAGCTTCAACAATGTAGACACTACCAATTAACTGTAGTTGGTTTTAATCGAAACCAAAACCGCGTATAAAGCCTTTACCTTTACGATTAATTGTACCTACAACAGGTAATATTTAAAGAGCTTTCCTCTTTACAAGTTCTAGTATAGCTGAATAAAGAACTGTCCCAGGTCATATTTAAGTAACCTTTCCTCTTTACAAGTTCTAGTATAGCTGTTTGAGGACCTATCCCAGGTCATGTTAACGTAACCTTTCCTCTTTACAATTTCTAGTATACCTGATGAGGAACTATACCAGGTCAAATTTAAGGAGCTTTCCTCTTAACATGTTCTGGTAAACCTGTTAGAGGATCTATCCAAGGTCATATTTAAGCAGCTTTCCTCTTTACAAGTTCTAGTAAACATGTATGAGAACCTATCCAAGGTCATATTTAAGGAGTATTCCTCTTAATAAGTACTATCATAGCTGAAAGAGGACATATCCTAGTTCATATTTAAGGAGCTTTCCTTTTAACATGTTCAAGTATAGCTGTATAAGGACATTTCCCAGGTCATATTTAAGCAGTTTTCCTCTTTACAAGTTCTAGTATACCTGTATTAGGACCTATCCTATGTCATATTTTAGTCGAGTTCCTCTTTACAGGTTCAAGTTTACCTGTATGAGAACCTATCCAAGGTCATACTGAAGTAGCTTTCCTCTTAACCAGTTCTAGTATACCTGTATGAGGACCTATCAAAGGTCATATTGTAGTCGGGTTCCTCTTTACAAGTTCTAGTATGAGGACCCATCCCAGGTCATATTTAGGTAACCTTTCCTCTTAACAAGTTTCAGTATAACTGTATGAGGACCTATCCCAGGTCATATTGTAGTCGGGTTCCTCTTTACAAGTTCTAGTATAGCTGTATGAGGACCCATCCCAGGTCATATTAAGTAACCTTTCCTCTTTACAAGTTCTAGTATACCTGTATGAGGACCCATCCCAGATCATATTGTAGTCGGGTTCCTCTTTACAAGTTTTAGTATAGCTGTATGAGGTCCCATCCCAGGTCATATGTAAGGAGGTTTCCTCTTTACATATTCTGGTAAACATGTAATGAGGACTTATATCAGGTCATATCTAAGTAAGGACCTAGTAAAGCAGTATGATTACCTATACCAGGTAATATTAAGTAGCTCTCCTCTACACGAGTACTAGTACAGTATAGATTTTTTTACTTATTATATATTTGTATGCACAGTATACATGATAAAAAAAAAAAATTATTAGAATCTGTACAACTAGTAGCTGCAAGGATTATCACAGGTCTAAGGAAAGGTACATCACACCAAACTCTATATAAAGAACTAGGTTGGGACCCTCTGTCTGATCGAAGGATGAACCATAAGCTAACTCAGATGTATAAAATAACTAACAATGTATCACCCACATACCTCTATGACATAATTGATCCTCTTATTCATAACCCAGAAAATGATAGGTATCCTCTAAGAAATGTAAGAATGTTTAACCCACCACTATGTCGTACAGAATCCTATGCTAAAGGCTTCTTCCCAGTAATGTGCAACAAGTTCAATGGACTTGAAAATGATACAGTACATTCCCCTACACTTAATAAATTTAAGGCCAAGGTATATAATAAAATATGTTTTAATAATGATATCTCGGATGTATTGTGAAAGCAGAAAGGGTAACATAATCTTATGTCAACTCAGAAATGAGGCGAGTAACCTGACCTATGACCTGTTCAAAGATCACTTGAATGAGTCTCCATCTTGTCTGTGTGGTGATGCTTATGAAACTGCTACACATTATTTTGCTCAATTTCCAATGTATACTGATGAGAGACAAACTTTAATGAATGAGATTTTTAAAGTGTGTCCGGTAAATCTTGATACTAAAATACTTCTTAATGGAAGCACTATGTTAAACAATACTGAAAATAAATCTATACTTGATAGTGTTCTTAAATATATATACAATACAAGAAGACTTGTTTAATTAATCAAAACAATCTATAAATTTTGTTAAGTATAGTCATAACTGATAAAATACTGTCCCTAAACCATTATGTGATTATACTGATTGTTATATATACATTGATGTTTTAATATTATACACCTAAAGGATTAAGCTTTGGGTGCTGTTTTTACTGAAGGGTGCAATAAAGTAAAACATAAATGTGCTAAGTTTGAATGCTTAGTGTTCTGTGGTTGAATCTGGATTCTTCTCGAGTGGATGATATGTGAATGGTAGAGGCCATTAGAGACTTTTTGTCTGAAACTCGATGGGATGAAAGATTTACACATAGAACACTGGCAATACATCTTACGCTTACACTACATTTTCAAAATCTTCTAGGTGAATTGCCTCATTTTATTTTTTCATATTTTGATGTTGTTGTATCCCTTACTTTTTATCACTCCTACCAATGATATATATATTGAAACTAAATGGTTCTATATTTTAAACTACTTCATGCAACAGCAGCAGGGTATGAACAGGGGGCATTAATGACTTGCAAAAAGAATATTGTAGCAATTTCTCTGTTTAATATATCATTAGGGCATTGCTTTCCTATTAATAATTAATTATGATTGACTTTTTGATAAGAGCATTGTATAGCTAAAAATATCAATTAAATATTTATGTGTAATTGAAACATACATGGAATTATCTCCTCTATACCAGCTGTTCTATGTATGTCTATGCTACTTATTATATATAATTTGCATCAATATTTTCTTACAAACCATTTCATTCATCTTTGTCTTTGTCATGTCAACCTAAAGAGAGAACTTATATAGGCCTAGCCTGCTGTTCAATCCTATTGTTTACTCAATAAAATATGATGAAATGAAATAAAAAAAAACTGTTGAATTTGGATAATCAAGTATCTTCATATTAATGATCAAACAAGCATATGTACTTCATGTGATAAGTATACCCAGATATATGAATGTTTATAGCGTCCTGACACACCCGAGAGGGAGGACACGGGAATGTCAGCAGTGTCTACTCAGAGGGTACAGCTAGGCCTACCGGAGACGTTTGGACAGGACGTCATACCTTCGCTACCACCTATACAAACCTCAGATCAGGTCCTGAAATCAAACATTATTGTGAACAGTATATGAATGCAATTTTTCATTTTAAATTCGTAATTTAAAACATAATATATCAAATCTCAATAAATTCATTTTGTTCTATTGCAATCCAGATTAACGAAACTGAGGAGAAAACGGATAAAGCTCACATGTTCCAGCGTATATTTAAACCTGGGACTCCGCGCCCCGTTTCTGAGAAGGCTGGCCGACACCGACACGATCATAGCTAACTTTCTCATTACGAATTCTTGTTATGTTGCAGGTCGAGGAAGCGCCCCAGTTCACCCCTAACCTAGAGAAAGTAGACGAGCAAGCACACATGATGACAGACCACGAAACTAAATCTAAAAAAAAACGTGGGAATAAGAAACAGGAAAAGCGTGAGAGAGAGAGAAAGGTATATGGTAGAATAATGATCGCAAACTATGTATGTTTCCATTTATGTTTGAATACTTTGTACATTTGGGTATAGGTGTACGGAGGATGTGGTGAAAACGATCTGTTGTGAGAATTTTTTCTTTCGCTCTATACAATTGCTACAATAGTTTAAATAGTAGCACTATACTGAAATGGTGAATATATTAATTTCTGAATTTTGGATGACTCAGGATACGCAAATAAAATAATAATAATACTTTTTCGATAACTCATACGATATATCATTTAAACTTGTCAAAGCAAATCTCGGTTTTCTCTGACAATAAACAAAGAACTTCTCTTGTATGGTATGGGCGATGAAGGAGTCGTCCAAGCTGCTATATATGTAGCTTACCTCTTTGCAAGTAATAATATGGCTGTGGAGGTCCACCCCAGCTTGTTATTAATATACTCCTTGTACGAGTTCTGGTATGACTTTGGGAGGAGACTCTGTCTTAGCTCGCTTAAATATGTTATATTCCTCTTTACGAGTTGTAACATTGTTGGAGGAAAAGGGGGAGCAGTTCATTTCGTATTTAAGGAGCGGCCTTTAACCTTTTAGTTTGTATTAGTATGATTTTATAATGACCTGCCCAAACTCACATTAAAGTAGCTGTTCTTTTCGAGAGCAAATATTGTGGTAACAGGAGCTGTCTCGGATCGTGTACCTACCCCTTAACGAGGACTGGCATGGTTATAGGAGGAGCTATCTGATGTCGTATAACTTCCCATCCTTAACAAGTCAATGCATGGTTTTAGGAGGGCTCTCTCAGGCTGTATAACTATCTTTCTTTAACGAACACTGGCATTGTTTCAGAAAGTCCTCTCGGAGCTCTGTCGGGTGGTATAACTAGCTGAACTTAACGAGTACTGGTATGGTTTTAGGAGGAGCTCTATCGGGTCGTACAACTTTCCGCCCTAAACGAGTACTGGTATGGTTGTACATTGTAGGAATTGAAGGAGCAGAATAAGGGCGAATCTGACATCGAGCAAGAGCAGGAACAAGCCAACTTAATGATCAGCAATGAAACTACAGCTAGGAAGGAACGTAAAAAGAGAAAGAAAAAGGAAAAGCGAGTCATGAAGGTATATGATAATATTGGAAATTAAATCTGGTTGTTTCTAAAGTTAGTTCGTTTTTTAATTGACTGTACCAATTTCATCAACGACTTAAGTTTAGTTTTATTCTATGTTGGCATTAGTGTTCAATGGTTGTTGGGAAAACATGGGTTAGAGTTATTTTCTTTGTCCCAATATCAACAATATATTGCATATTAGATGTATTCATTTTTACGGTATGTCATACAAAAGTTACATACTCATCAGATATTTTGAGTTATTGAAAGGAGCACCTGTTCCATGGTACATTGTTGTATGATATTCCCCAGGGCACATCTGACGTCGGGCAGGAACAAGAACATATAAATATAAGGACAGGAAGGTATTTTTAGAATATTGGACACGAGCTACATTTGATAGATGTTATTTCTAACAGTTTTGTATTAACTGTACAAAATCACTATACGACCTTTGTTTAGTTATGTTCATCAGGGTAGTAGCAGTCGTAGGATGTGACGAACACAGTTTGGACAGAAGGTTGTTTCCTTTACTCTATACTTGTATTCCTATACTCTTATACTTGCATCACATAATAATCTTAAATTTCACCTAACGCATAATCATTTCTTCTGGACATAGTAGATTTCGGTTCTGTAAGATATTTTTAATTTAACAGAAATTAGAATACCCTGCTACGATGGATGAACAAACGAGGAACGAAAACACATTCTACCTGTCAGCACAAACGCACAACGCTGATAGGGAAATGGGGGTTGATGGTGAAACAGAGGTTGGTGTTGAGGCGGAGGCATCGGATACCGAAATCCAAGATTATACAAATACTCACCAACCCCCTGGCAGGAAGAGGAGGAGGAAACTACAGAAGGAATCGGAAGACAAGGAGGAGTTACTTATTATTATGAATGATTAGATGTGAGTGCTTTAGATGTGTGACGTAAGCAAATCATAAGGTTTCTTAGATACACTGTCGTGGGTAAATGTCCAGTATTCTGTCCATTCTATTATCGAGACATTTTGCATTTTGGATGAAGATTGGATCAAGATGTCTTAATTAAGACGCGATTCTAAAGCTAAATCGGAGCGTTTAAGATCTTTAGAATGTTGCCAATCATAACCTGTGTTTTCATTTTATACGCATAATTTTAGGACCGTTAAGTGTAGATTGAAACACACATTTATTGGTCTAAGACTTCAAGTCTAAAGATAAAGTGAATTTGAAGGTTTAATAAGTTCAATGAAGATGGTATCCTATTAAAGATACAAAACAAAGCAAATATTTTTTACAAGATATGTACCTGTAAGTAAAATGTGATATATAAGAAATATGGAAGCATTTTGCAATGTCTCATTTCTTTTATGAAATTGTTTCATTTATAGCATTTTCCCTAAATTGAACGTAAGGAATTGTTACTTTCTTTGTCATGTTTAGATCATTTAGCCAACTAAACCTTAATACGTAAGCAGAATAAACATGTATACATTAAAACAGTATTTCAATTCGAAATGGAATTTTACTAACAATGCTTCTTTCAATTTTTAAATCGCCAATTTTATTTTCCTTATATGTCAATGATTGTGAAATGCAATTTTTTGAAGAAAAATTGTACATCTTTTGAAATTAAGTTATTCATTTTTTTCTTAATAATGTACGCTGTTGACATGATCATTGTTGCAGAAACTTCGTGACGTTTCATTGTGTCCATTTAGACATTGTAGACGACTTTAATTACCTTTGCGTTTTATTGAAAGTTTCGTAAAACGCAACAAAAAGTAGCAGAACAAGGTCGTAAAGAATTATTTGCCGTTACAAAAGTGTGTCAGAAACATTATTTTAATTTTGAAACAATAATGTCAGTATTCGATACATATGTCGCTAGCATTTTAAAACATGGATCTGAAATATGGGGAGGTCATAAGGCAGAAGATATAGAAAAGTTACATTTAAGTTTCTGTAAAAATCTACTTGGTGTTCGTAAAACTACTCCAAATTGTATGATACATTTTGAATTAGGAACATGTCCAATGGAAGTTAGTCGTAAGTTAAGAATGTTGAAGTATTGAATAAAATTGCGTAATACAGATAAGTGTATACTTCAGGCATGTAATGAAGAAATGTCTGACTGTGAAGATCATTGGCTTATGAGTATAAAAAAATGAATTGTTTAGGATAGGAGTGGGATATTTTGGGGAATTGAAAGACATACAAGATGATTTAGTGCCAATTTATATAGAAAGAATCACGGATATTTTCAAACAGGAATGTTTTGAATAAAATAATACTTCTAAATGTAATCTTTACAAATGTCTATGTGATGAATTTGGTTTACAAAGTTACTTTAAAAAGTCCATTGATATTCAACACTTGAAATAGTTAGTAAGGATTATAACATCTTCCCATAAACATCATATAGAAACTGGTAGATACCAAGGTATTGAACACAAGAACAGGGATTGTTCGTTATGTGCCTCTTATGATGTAGAAGACGAATTTCATTTTGTTCTTAAATGTCCATTTTATTCCGATTAACGCAATTCATTTATTAAACCTTTCGAATAAAAAAAAGAAATTGTTCATTTTGCCAAATATGTAAGAATCGCTAGTAGAAGACGACAAAATGGACTGAACTAAGTCAATAGTATCTAGTGTTTGTCAGTAGTACATTAGTATGTCCTTATCATCAAATATTATCTAGTTAATATCTCTCTACACTTCTAGGAGTAGGTGGAAAGTGGTATGTATGTGTGTTGTTGTATGGTTTTGAACTTGTCAATTTCCAAATCAATGTAAATCAATCAAAACCCATTAATTAATAAATTAGAAACTTTAGAGGAGTATTGGTAAGATTCAAATTAAATATACTGTCAAGTGTGTTGTTGTTTGACCAATGACACTACTCAAAAGAAACAAATGCTGTCACCAAGGTAACGGCATACTTCAGCAGAGACTGAAGAATCCACCAGCGGAGTCTACTACGTATACCTTGTATTTTAACAGATGAACGTAACACAGTCACACAGGCTAGTGCACTTTTAAATATTGGTAATAGATACATCATGCCAAAATTGATCTGTAAAATCTTAAAACAATACTCAATGGTTTTCAGAAATTATGGACTCAGGATCCTTCTATGAAGAATAAAACAAGACACAAAAAAGTCACATAAGGTTCACTAATTACACTTACCCTTTGTCTGTATAGTTATAATAGCATCCCAAATTATATACATGTACCATACAAATTAAAAGCATAAAAACTGTGTATTGTAGATACAAATCACTTATGTAAATCAAACAATTTTCCAAATAGATACTCTTCAATAACATTAAATTTATTCATTATATTAGAAACTGTCGCTACCTGGAAAGTAATCTCACATTTCTAGTATGGATTGTGTTAGACTGGGTGAGATGTTTAACTGAGACCCTGTTGATTTTGTTTAGGTATATGCGTTGGTTACACGTTTGATCATTGTCATCATCTATGCATGCATTTAAATAAGTGGAGACAAATACCCGTTATCAGAAGGGTTACCTCCCTTGGCTTGATTTCCTTACCAAACTGTCTTGTTTAATGTTAAATATTAAATTATAATTCTGTATATGCTTATTTGTATTATTGTGCATTGGTAGAAGATTAACCTAGGATTTTTCTGAAATATAATCTTGTTTTATTTAATAACTTTATAGTCTATGAAAGATACAAAGCAATGCAATTAAGGAGTTTTGTTACTACATATATTTACAATTCTGTAAAATTTGTTATAGTATTATCACACGAATGAACAGTAAAATATACATTAGATTGTTGGAAACATAGATAAGAACAACTTGTTCTGTTTTTATAAGGGTGGCACATGCTTTCACTGAAATTGTTGTTCTTGTACTTATTTATTGAATTGATGTAGTTGTGTTTGAGTACCTATGACTTCTATGCACAACTATATTTTATGTACAACTCATCTCTATATATATATATTAAAATAAAGGTAGTATTTTCATGGATAATTGCAATGTACACAATGGTCGTTCTACATACGTAAGTTGAATATAAAGACAGAAAATAACGCTTTCGTAGAAAAAGTCTTTTCTTTTTGAATCCTTTATACATTTATTTTGCTATACATTGTGTTTTTAAAATTATATGCATAAAATGTATATATTAAACTTGTGGAAGTTATGCTTTTTATTTCTCGAAACTTCAAGCAAATATGGAAATTATTGATCTTACAAAAAAGACAGGTATATTGATTAACGTCTACCGTGTCTAAAAGGAACAGAGAACAAGCAAACACCAGAAGACGACAGAAGTAAAATATAAATTTTAAAAAATAAGCCTCTCCTTCACCACAAGTGACACACGTAAGCTACACATAGATTAACACAATGCATATATCGCTTACATTGGCTGATATTGAAAGTCCCAAGTTGGAAACGAGGCTATGGTGGTGACTGTGAAAAAGCGTAGAATGAAGCGTCTCTAGTAGATAAACCAGGCTACAAAAAATACAGTTCAACGGTTCGCTAAAAATCATTTTCTATATGAAGCTTTTTGAGGGAATACGACACATAAAGATAGATACTCAGATATGCCCGTTTTAAATAGTGTAGAAGATTATACAACATCAATATAGCACGCAATACTATAATGCACAGACACAACATTATCATCTATAATATAAAGGATAACACAACATGACATATAGAATGTTATACTGTAAAGGATAGCACAACATTCGATAAACCATGTTATCTTTTACAGAACAACATAACATGATATATACAATGAATTGTTGTAAAGGATAACACAGCAGCGGATGTACAATGCATGTTATATTAAAGGATAACAATACACGACATATACAATGATATATTAAAGGATAACACAACATGACATATACAATGTTATACTGTAAAGGATAGCACAACATTCGATAAACCATGTTATCTTTTACAGAACAACATAACATGATATATACAATGAATTGCTGTAAAGGATAATACAGCAGCGGATGTACAATGCATGTTATATATTTAAGGATAACAATACACGACATATACAATGATATGTTAAAGGATAACACAACATGATATATATAATGATATATTAAAGGATAACACAAGGATACTAATACATGACATCTATAATGTTATATTAAAGGATAACACAACATGACATATACAATGCTATATTATACAATTATGGACTTTTGTGCTGGTGAATATGATGTGATATGAACCTGAAAAAGTGATATTGACCGAGGCGTGACACACACTGCGTGTTCGGTGACCTTTTTGTTTTACCAGCATCTTTATATTCAAGTAGTTTGGACATTTTCAAATGTAACGGAGGCAAAGAGTTCGCCATCCGCCATCTTCTGTTTATGTCTGGCATATCGCGTTCCGGTCTAAATGCGCATGCGCTACGACAGGTTCCGGGGAATTTCCATATAGGCTATATTTAGAAATTGATATTCACCGGATAACCAGTCTATATGAGTTTTTGAGGACTGGTCAAGTGTATAGGATCCGGCCAATGTGATTGCGAGAAATTTTCAAGCATATAATAATAAAGGATAACACAACAGGACATATATAATGGTATATTAAAGGATAACAATACATGACATATATAATCGTATATTAAAGGATAACACAACATGACATATATAATGTCATATTAAAGGATAACACAACATGACATGACAAATGTTATATGAAAGGATAACAATACCTGATATGTATAATGCTATATTAAAAGATAACACAACATGACATACATAATGTTATATTAAGGGATAACACAACATGACATATACAATGATATATTAAAGGATAATACAACATGACATATATAATGTTATATTAAAGGATAACACAACATGACATATACAATGCTATATTAAAGGATAACAATACCTGATATATACAATGATATATTAAAGGATAATACAACATGACATATATAATGATATATTTAAGGATAACACAACATGACATATACAATGCTATATTAAAGGATAACAATACCTGATATATACAATGATATATTAAAGGATAATACAACATGACATATATAATGATATATTTAAGGATAACACAACATGACATATACAATGCTATATTAAAGGATAACAATACCTGATATATACAATGATATATTAAAGGATAATACAACATGACATATATAATGATATATTTAAGGATAACACAACATGACATATACAATGCTATATTAAAGGATAACAATACATGACATATATAAGGTTATATTAAAGGATAACACAACATGACATATATAATGTTATATTAAAGGATAACAATACATGACATATATAATGTTATATTAAAGAATAACAATACATGACATATATAATGTTATATTAAAGGACATATTTTATGCTATATTAAAGGATAACACGGTCCCACTACAAACACTTTACATCTCATGATTACACGCAGGCATACACACATAGGGAGATATTAGCCAGGTGGCATAAGACTAGTAGTTAACGCCTGATAAGACAGCTCCTGCGAACTCCGTAAAATTGTATTGATTAATGTATATGCTAATTGTATTAATTGTACC